AGGCACACAGTAGTGTAACCACAGCTAAACAAACCCTGAGCAAATTACCTTTCAAACAATGTTTCCAGCCCTGGTTTATCTTTTTAAGAAACCTTCTGCTGTTTTACACAAGACAATAATCAAGGTGTTCATTAATTTTAGATTCCAAAACGTCAGTCTCACAGACAGGACAGCTGACTCTTCTATCCTGCCTCACTGGATTGCTAGGACTTGCAGAGGACTGTGTAAACTCAGCTCTGGCTTTTGGAGTTGCAGTGACATCAGTACCCTCCTTTTTGATGAAATACTTTTCAAAGGCAGTTTTGTCTTCCTTTTTTGGCCATCGCTGTAGTGTATTAACACATTCTAAGCTTTTTTTCTCAGATGCACCCTGAGCTCTTGCAGTCTGCTCCAAACAAATTTGCTTTGGTGACCAGTTAGAAGCTGACATAGCCCTCTTGCCCACTGGTGAGCCTTGGCTTGATGTTTCTTCAGCAACACGAGCCACCCTAGCAGGCAATCCCCAGTCGTTCTCATCATCTTCTGCATTAGCAGCAGAGGGTTTTGGAAACTCACGCTTTAAAGCTAAGTTGCTCTTCCCACCGGCACCACTGGTAAGAAGTGGAAATATGCCACTATGGGGTCGTTTTTCCATTTTTTTCTCATTTTTAGGGATTGGTATTGTCCTTGCTGCTGAATGATGCAGTGAGCCATGTGCTTCACTGTTTCCAGTGGAGCTGCTGGCATTTGTGTTTTTCTCTGAAAGAACACTGTCTCCTCCTCCGAGCCGATATCCTGTTCCACTAAAAGGAGTCAGGTCTTTCATGCCATGCATTTGTGTCTTGCCTGCAAAATCAGATTAAAAAGTAAGTTAATAATTTTTTTATTAAAAAATCATGAGCTGAGTATTTGAGGTGCTTCATACAAATAAATCTGCTGCTTGAAAATAATGCCTCAAAGTAAACTTTTTGTACGCAATTCAGTTGAGGAGCAGCCTAAAAGTGCACAAACAAACAGGCCCTGTTCTTTGGCTATGTAACAGTAACATCTAAACCAAGCTTGTGTAATGTTTAGTCCATATTCATTCAAGAACATGTCTGGACAAAAATAAGTATGGAAAAGAAAAAAAAAAAGTCATAAAATACCTTTGTTAGTTGACTTGAAATGTGGAGGTTTTTCTGTCTGAGTTCTCTGCTTGGACTTCTCTGAGAATTTCTCTGGCTCCTTCACTTTTGTGAACGTGCCCCCACACGTCCTTTGATGTTCATCCCACCAGAAGTCATGTGCAGAGGGTGCTCTGTTCATTGAGCGCTTCACATATCCAAAGTAAGGCGCTCTGTTTTGGCAAGGGCCATTGCATCGCCACCAGTGCTGGCGGTACAAATTAATCTCATCATAAAAATTGTGATAGATCTGTGTTAAAAACAAACAAACAAAAACAAAACCAAAAAAACCCCAGTCATTCAAGAAGATACAAGCTTTATACCACTAGCTCTTAATATTTTTTTAAAAACCTGTTTCCATTAAATTCCTTCCACTACTGCTGTGATTTCTATATCAGCAGTAAGAAGAGCTGGACCTGAGTAAAATTTGATCAACATTTAGCTGCCATGAAAACAAAGCTTTAAAAAACATAGATAGGATGTGTAGGAATATGGCCTGGTTATCTTGTTTGAACTGCAGTAAAATCACTCTGAAATCACATTTGAAATCATTTTGAAATCACTTTGAAACCACATTTTTGAAATCTATGTACAATTTCACCAAGAAGATGAAATGTTTAGAATGCATTGCAAACAACACCAGTATTGTATTCTCCTTTGAGCTATTACCTTAACTGATCTTTTTAGACACATTATTTTTAAATATTGACATAAAATCATTTCTCTCTATTGACATAAATCTTGACTGCTCTCCACACAGATCACTTCTCTCCCTGCTACCATTAAGCTGTTTCTAGCTCACCACAAAAGCTTAAAGAATAATTCTTACAGAGAACACATCAACAATGAAAATTATATGACAAACAACTCACCACATCTTCCTCAACCTGTTCCCACCACCGTCCCCAATAAGATAACAATGGAACTGGCACATCCTTGGATGCAAATCTGTATTGGTACCAACTGTGGAGCATCTGACAAGCACATTACTTATTCCACACTGGCCAACTAAAACACCAAATCAGGAAGAAAGCTCGATTAAATCAGGTGAAGAGGATTGTTCTTACTGTGACATTGGCTCCAGTCAAGAGATTAATGCGACGCATGTGCTTGCAGAACTCTGGTCCATGAGACTCACGATCTTTGTCGTTATGAGTAACAAAGAGCAGGGCATGGATCATTTCGTGCAACAGTGTCTGAAATGATGCAACCATTAGATATCCATTGAAAAGCACTGCATTTTCAGTTTCACTATGAAGCTGCAAGTATTTTACTCTTCTACATTGATTGTGGTACTGACCTGAACTCTGAATATTCATGTATTCAGTGTGGGTCATAAAAACATAATGCTTTGATCTATCAAACCAAATTACCCCTATTCCCACATCACTAAAACATACTGCAGAATATCACTAAAATAAGCAGCACTCCAAAAAGGAGAAATAATCCTCAAACTTAAACCAGATCTTTAACGACATCACGCCCTACACACCCCCCAAAAAGAGACACTTTTGAGCAAGCTAAAACTCTACATGTCTCTCCTTAGGCAAATCTGAATGTTCAGCCAGCTCAAAGCAGCAGCTCTGGCAGAGGCTCAAGAAGCAACAGAAAGTCACGTTAAGTCCTATCCTATATCCTTATTTTCTGCTGTTGGCCTTTTTGAAACTACAGTCCATGTTTGGTTTGAATATTAAAAGATAATTCAGGAGTTAGAAACTCAGGGTGTCTTTTTCTCTACATAAAGTCAATAAAATAACCAAGTGACTTTAGACTTCTACTTGGAGTTGCCCACTTAGTAAAATAAAACTAGAGATTACCATGGTACTGCAACACAAGCCACACAATCCTAACAGTAAAGCCATCACTATTTAATGATCTGTAAGTTACTGCATAAAAGAATCCCACTATGAAATCTCAAGTTTCATAGGGGGATGGGCACAAAACACTTTATGTGCAGATTCATAAGCCACATTCAAATACCTCCACAAGATCTTTCCTTGGCCGTAACTTTAGAAGCGGCTCACTGAGACGAATGGAACACAACCCACTTCTTTTGTGATATGAACAGATACCAGCAGAGCTGAAAGGAAAAGCAGAAAGAAAATAATTAAAATCTATTTGCTTCTGTAGCACGTGAAGGAAAGGGAGAATTTAAGTTATAATGCCATCCCTTGTAAACACATGCAACATCACTTAGAACATGGAATAAAATCGCTTTGAGTAGTTACTTGAAAAACTCAGCATGGTTAAGCAAAGGAAAAAAAAAATCCACAAATTCCTTAGAGTAGAAAAACCTGTTTTGAAGGCAGAAGAATGTTTCCTTTAGAACTTGTGATGGACTGAAATACACTACAGGGAGGCTGGAGATTCACGGCAACAAACAACGACTTGATTGCTGGTTGTCTAAATTTTGCTCCCCACCCTTCATCAACTTTTGACTCATACCAAACTTACATACCTCTTTACTTCTGTGCACTCACCCACCTTTTTTGTCTGTGTTAGTCCTACGGAGTTAGTCCTGTATTGGTGCAATATCCAGCTATTTCCAAATGTCTAAAGAACACTACAACCAGCAGAGGATAAGAGGCAGCAGGACTCCAGCCACCAGCAGCTGCATCTGGTGCACAACTGCAGACTGCACTTCAAAGATTCCTGGGTTTGTTTAACCTCGAATTTCTTCTATATTCCCCTTCCTAGTCTATTCTAAATTTTACCAATATACTATTATTGGTTCCTATTCGCCTTTCTGCCGTGCACTAAAACTATCACAAAGACAACCAGAGCAGCAACACGAGTACGTGAGGTTTCCACACACACCATCTCAGACCAAGTAATTCCTTGCGTTTTAACATCCCTCCGGCTCGCCTGCACCCCGGGGAAAGCCACTGACGGCTGCCAGGGGCGACAGATGCAAGGCAAGGGACACAACGACAGCGAGCAGCTCATGTCGCGCCGTACAGGCTCTGCCAGAGACGCGGGACATCGGAGTGCCCGGGAAGAGAAGCCGTGGCAGCAGCACGGCGCTAGCGGGGCACAGCGAGGAGCGGCGGAGGGACAAGCGACAGCTGCTCCCCGACAGCCGCCGCGGCCCCGCGGCTGCCGGCCCATCCCAGCGCCCCGACACCGCCGGTGTGGGCCGGCGGAGGCACGGCGGGCAGCTCCCGAAACTCAAGGATCGGCCTCCCCGCCGCCTTCCCGGCCCTGGCGACCGCCACACACCCCCCGGGACAGGGCAGCCCCGGCCCCACAGCCCCCGGTGCCGCACCTGGTCATGCGGGGGCTCCAGGACACCGTGACAGCCTCCAGCTTGCCCCAGAAGAGCGCCTGGTTGACACGA